AAATAGTTAATTTGATACTAATATCGATATATTTTTGTCAAATTTTTATGATATCTTCAAATTTATATTTTATTCAAAAATAAAATCATCATCGCTTTTTCAAAATCACATAAGACCATATTATAACATCAATTGAGATACAAAATAAAATGAAATATTAAAATCAAGATGTATCTCGCTGCATTGCGCGAGTACCCTTCTAATATATAGAGGCGGGATCAAATGACAACCATCTAATTCTTAGAAACCGTGTAAACTAATTTGGACTAATAGGAAAATTCATTTTTTCCTTAATTAAATTTAATCATTAAAGGTAGATTTATCATTTACATTGTTTTCTATTAAATATGGAAGTTATTAAAAAATCTTAATTAAGGTAACGTAATAAAAAAAACTTTAAAAATGGTAATATTTAAATGTTTATTTAAATTAGAATTTTAAAAATTGGTTATTGTTATTTGGTTTCTTGGTTTATTAGTGGTAATAATATGAAAATAAAAAATTATTATATTCATTAATCTACGAAATCAGTAACAGATCCAAACAAAGATTCATGAATTGGTAATATAATCAGCTGTGAAACAGATTCATGTTAAATTTGTTCATGAAAACGTTCATTGAGAAGCTTGTTTTATGAAACGTATGCAGATTGGTTCGTGAAAACGTTCATTGAGGAGCAGGGGCAGATGCATGAGTATTTGGTTGGGGTCTGGGTCCCCAACAAAATGTATTGTTCAAAGGCCAATTTTTTTCTTTTACTTTTAGTTTTTAATTTAAAATAATTGGGCCCCAACAAGAAGACCTTGAAGCCCCACCCCACTTCCATTTCCTTCTTYTATCACCCTTCAATCTTCATCAGTCACGCACGCCTACTGCTTCTGTGCTTCTTCTTCTTCATGCGGTCATGCCGTCGCTGCTTCAGTGCTTCTTCTTCACTTCTTCAGTGCTTCTTCTTCATCAATCGTTGTTGCCTGTTGCCTGTTGCCTGTTGCCTGTTGCCTGCTTCTTCCTTCCGGCTTCCAATAATTTGGGTAAATATTCTAATATCCAAATTCCAATCTTTAATGTTTAATTACTTTAATTTTGTTGTTTGTTTCACAATTGGTGATTTGGTAAATGCTTTATGTTAGGTTAATTTTGCAATTATATAGACAAATGGAAATGTTAGGTTAATTTTGCAAATAGAAATGCTAGGTTAATTTTGTAGGAAAATGGAAATGTTAGACAAATGAAAATGTTAGGTCACTTTTGCAATTTTGTGTTCAAAAGCAGTATGCAAGACAATTAAAGATCAAGTGTTATTTGTGAATTATATGATCAGGCRGAAGGAATAATTCCTAGTTGATAGGTCTCCTTGGGTGCTCATCTTAAGAAGAGTACTAAAAGATTAAAACATAAGCCTTAGAAGTCACTCTCCACCACATTATTGCATTTCAGTAAGCAGGATACTCAGTACCACACATGAAAAGGTAAATATGTAAGTCATATTCACTCAAAAAATATAAAATTGTAGGGTCAATGCCTAGCTTACTTTAACCGCATCAGTTATCTTTATTCGGTTAACCGAACAGTTTAAGCTGAAAATGAAAACCCGAAATCTTTTTTGGTTCGGACGAATTGTTCGGTTTCGAAAAWTTTTCGACCCTCTTAAGTGTGCCCCCAACCATAATAGTTTCTAGATCCGCCACTGTTGAGGAGCTTGTTTTATGAAACTTTTGGGGATGAACTGTTGCGTAAATATAATATTCTTGCATAATYTTGTTTTCTTATCAACAATTATTRATGAAATTGTTTCATTTTGTTTTGGATGRTTTTGTTCACTTAATGGTTAACAAAGCAWGTAATGGTAAATGCATTGACTCTATGAAACATGTTCTTATCGRAAGAAATTGGCTGATGAAATGAGTGCATGAAGAAAGTAAAATCATTTCATAATTGATAAGAAAATGTTGTGTAATTAGCGAACAATGAAACAATTTCATTATTACGATGAAACGGATYCATCTACSAATAACAKGAAAATGACAAATGTCTCATAAGGCATTACGTTRATTAGTGTATTGAWGAAACMGTGAAACCATTTCGGTCATACAAATGTAAAACCATTTCGATGAAATGGATGCATAACGACARAGAAACCATTTCATAATTGTTAAAAACATGTTGTTTAATTAGCAAACAGTGAAACCATTTCATAATTAGATTGAAACGGATCCATCTACCGGAAACTTGAAAATGACAAATGTCTCATCTAGCATTACGTTGATTTGTGTATTGATGAAACTGTAAAACCATTTCGTTCATGAAATGCAGTAGTAATTTTTATTATTATTCAAAAGGTTTCATTATGTTAAATTGATTATATTGTGTTTTATTTTTATTGTTGATTTATTTTAATGATGGATGTTATTTTTTTTATAATATTTGAACATAAAATTAATACATTATTTTACAAATGATTTTGTTTCATTAATATTACGATATACATGATATGGTTGCCATTAATATTACCACTACCAAAGTTACCATTTTGCCCTTTTTGGGATTATAAAATAATTTTTTATTTTTTATTAATTTTCTAATATAATCTAAACTAATCTTGACTATTGATCAAGAAAATGGATGGATGAGATTGATTTACACAAATGAGAGAGATTTTCATTTGATTGCTCCTACTAGTATATATATATATATATATATATAGAGAGAGAGAGAGAGAGAGAGAGAGAGAGGAGAAATAGTCAAAGAGTCCTGAGGAGAGAATGGATGTTCCCATTAAATTAATCTTTCAAGACTCCTTGAGGAGAAAAGGGATGTTCCAAGATGTATAGAGGAGAAATGGTCAAAGTCTAACTGATGTGATGTGATGTGAGACTCCAACACGCCCCTTCCAATGGAGGCTAGATGGACATATATTGTCCCAAAGTGTCGAGAGGGGGTTAGATGGGTGAAAGGGCTAGACAAGTATAGATTATCGAGTCCCTAAAATGGTAGATCTTGGTTCTGATACAATGTRAGAATATATAAAACTCCATTAGATTGCTCTCTAAAAAAGCTACTAAAAAAAGAAAAAGAAAGTTACAATATATATAAAAGAGAAATATCATAGTCTAGCCGACTCTAATATTCATAACAAAAACTATTTTACTAAACAATATTTCACACACAAATATGCATATATATTATAAATTATATTATAAGTGTTTATTTTCGGTACGTATGTGATGACCGGGTTATTCRGATTATAAGTTTGGGGTTGTTTTTGAAAAGTACCGGTAAGTTGAAGAGTTAAATGTGTTTATTTGCTTAAATAATTTAAAAAACATTCCYACMACCGCCTCTTATKGTTTAATATGGGTATTGAGTGAGATATTTAACTTTATCTCATTGGTTTTGTAAGAAAATAGAAAGAAAGAAAGTTTTCTTTGTGTATGTATGTTATGGAGTTCGAAGAAAAACAAAAGCAAAAAGGGAGATAAGAAGAAGTTGAATTCAGTATTTATTTGTYTGGATACTTGTTGCTATTTCATCTTCATATCATCTATGTGATTCATAAGGTGAGTTTATTTTACAACTTTCTTTATCTGGAAACTTGAATTTGAACCATATGGTTCTTTATATGGGTTGGTATAAAGCTGTTCTGAATGTTATAAATAAGCATAAACGTGGGTTTTTGTTATGTTATATTATGTGTTGAAATAAGGGTGACATATCTAGGAGATGTGTATTTTGGTTATAAGAGTGACATATTAAAAAGAAATGTATATTGTGATAAGGGTGGCATATCAAGGAGAAGTGTATACTGGGATAAGGGTGTCGTATCAAGGAGAAGTGTATACTAGGATAAGGGTGACATAATCATGGAGTTATAAAATCTGGGTTTTGATTAAAATGTCATTTTTATCGCATCCTTATTATGCAATAACTTGGATTGTCGCATCTGTATGATGCGATGACTTAAAGTTATCGCATCTTATTGATGTGATGAAATGTGGATATCGCACCTATATGATGAGAGAAGTGAGTTTATCGCATYCTTGTGATGCGATAAGTTGGGYTTATCRCATCAATATGATGCGATGAGTTGTAGTCCTCGCACCAGTGTGTTGCGARGAAATGAGATTGTYTCATCATGCCATGTGAGAAGTTATATGATGCAACAAGTTTACTCAAKATGTGTTTATTAAGTAATTTGATTATTTTGATGYCRTCACTGAGGTTCATTATAGCAAAATGATGTATATTTGTTATTTCACAAATGTTATTTTATAATTGTGATTTGTTGATTATTCACCCTATAATTGCATCAAAGGAATTTCTCAATAAACCGCAAGGTCTAACTTTTATTTTATGTTTAAAAAATGTACATTACAGGTCGGGCACAACCAGAGGACAATGGAAATGGGAAATTGTGAAGTGTTATATATGTTTGCATGGATTATTGGGCTAGCATATTATTCTTTTGTATCTGAATACTTGTTAGGTATTCATGTGTGGTATAAAGATTTTGTG